TTACACGCTATTTGCAAATCCTCCGGGCTTTCCGAAATTACTCCCGAAAATTTAGCTGCGGCATCAATATGCCCGTTATTGTGGATAAGTTTTTGGATTCGAAAAATCTTAGTGTTCCTAAAACTGAGTTCAGTTGTAAATCGAACAGGCGACAGGTATGACTGGTGGTATGTAGTCCAGGATCGAAGGATCTGACATTGCTGCACTCGGTGCTGTGAGTAGTAAAATCACAAGCATGGTACTGATTGTCCTGGCCGTCTTGGAATTTTCGAGCGGGTATTTCCACTTTTGAAAAAATTCTGCCTTCTTGCTCAACCAATAAACTTCAGGGCGCATACGTACAACAGTGCGGCGCAGCGTCCGGCCCATATTCATAGTACGGTAAGCGAATCGCATGTAATGCTGAAAAACAATCCGGCATCACATTTGAACACAAATGATGATTACGTACTGGATATCGCATTGCTCAACGATAGCTTGGCGATTCGCCAGGCCGGTCTGACGGTACAGAAGCATCGCAATGCGCAGCATCGTAACGCTCAACGACATTTCATGGAAAATGCATCCTGTGAGCGGCACAGTAGCAGAAGGTTTGTTGTCACTATACTGCTGTAATTACCACTGTGCTAAAATTGAATTGCTCCCCTTGCCGTTCGTTAGTACAAATTTAATTTCTTATTCCATTCTTTGTCTCATTTTTGAAACATTTTGTCTTATTCCTGCTCCCTTTCCTCATTCTTTCCTGCTCTGTATCTTACACGCCTTCCACACTTTGCCATCCAAGGTCAGCCTGGATGCTACAATTGGCTTAATATGGTGGCAGCGCTCAGGACACCTCACTATTTCTTGGGCCAGAGCTCTTATCGGCGAAAATAGGCAGCTACAGTTCATAAGCATTTTGGAGCATTCTACTTTAAATTATCCAAGTAGGAGAAGCTTATTTATTTCCTCCAATGCTTTGATCATCTACAGTTAGTTTTTTTGTAGCTGTCTCTCTCGTTGAGCAGTTGACAATTTCTCCAGTTGCTTTGTCCGATGCTTCATCGTCTGGTGGTCAACTTGCTCTCGGTTCTAAGAGATTGCTAGCCTGACAGTTCTCCCGAAAGAAGCACTTGACGAGAATAACTGTTTCGAGATGGTATTTGCTGCGTAGCAGCATATCAACCGAAACGCTGCTACTGCTAGTACAAGGTGGAAGGGGGATATCTTACCATTTAGTAGCAAAAGTATACAGTTGGAAAAATTTCAATGGCTGTTATGTATTTTGCTGCGATGCGTCAGCTTTTTTTAAGTCACTAATATGTAGAAAATTTTAGAAGCTGGATGGACTGTGCCCCAACACTGACATAAAGAAAGGATGCCTTAGCCTGTTGTAGAGGACGAATGGAAGGCGTTTTTTATTTTAGATTTTGCTTCACGGACTGAAGTTTTGATTAAATTTCAGGAATCCGTATGCAGTAGCTGATGTCTCGGCAGCTCATGAACGGATTGTAGCATTCGATGCTTCGGCAATTAGTAACGGTTCGCATACAAGCGCCGAATATAACACTGCAGCATCGACAAATATCCCGCAAAGTCCAGCTTATCCAGCAGGAAGCCGTCATCGTCCTCCAAGTGAGGAAACTGATTCTGATGAAGCGCATGAGCTTAGCGTTTCGACGCGCTCTCGACATACTCGGCCAACACGGAAAAATAAACGTCGCACAACGAGTTCGGCAGACCGCGAAAAACCGGCTGCAGTTGTAAATGCATGTCCAGATACCGCTACGGCACCTTCGTCCAGTGGATATCAGAGTCAGAATCCGAGTAGTAGGTTAGTTTTTTTTTTTGTTAGTTTTTTATCGTCTTGACTATTTACACATGATTTGGTTTGGAGGCGCCCTGCCATTTTCCTATAGGAACTAGTAAGTTGAAATTCAATCGTTTAGTACGTTGAAGTTTTTTTCCCTTCCGATACACCTCTCGCTTTTTACCGAGATCCTTCTACAATTTTTTGTGGTGCTGTCAGTTTTTGTGAAACAGTCCATTTTCCATGAAATAGCTAAATTTAAGCTTGAAATAAATTCTTCCACAAACCTCTTTCTGTAGAAGACGGCACTTGCTAACAGCAGACACATGCTGGAAAGGTTGTCGATAGCTGCCTCTTCCAAGGATTCCTTGCGGACAAACTAACGGAGGTTTTGACTTCTTAGCGTATGCTAGTGCCAATTTATCATCGAAACGAATGAATGAATCGTAGAAGGATTGATTGTTTCACTGGCAAAAACGGTCCCTCCTAACTCCTACATGAGAGAGATTGCTTGCCACTGCGCCATGCCAGTTACACAGTTTATGTGAAATAGCCTAATGTT